ATATTTACATCTTAACCACACCTCAACTCCTTGATAATTCCTATAAAATTGGCCAACCTCTATTGATTACAATACAAACTCCGCTCACTCGTGATTTCTCTAACTAAATTTACTTAGGCCTCCATATATTTGCACATCACCTCTGGCCGATATGTTCACGATATACTCATCAAGTCTCCAAACTCATGTAAATCAGTTTTCAATGAGCTGCACAGAAAATAATATGAAGTTTAATGAAGACAAGTTTCAGCTTCTGTATTATGGAAAAAGCGAAAATATCAAAACTGAAACCATATATAAAATGCAGTCAAACCACACTATTAAACGAAAAATCCATATAAAAGATTTTTTTATCTTTATTTAAGAAAATACAATATAAATTACATATACATAAGTTTTACAAGGCAATTATACATTACAATTCTTAGTGAACAAGTGTTTCATTAGTACAGAATATGATCTTTAAAAACACCTGAATGTTATACTTATTTACCTATAAACGATTTACAAAAAATGGAGAATAAATTTACATTAAAATACAGGGGAAATTATTACATTTATATATATTTTATATAATTCTCAGTAAACAAAATTTCCATATCATCGCCGAGCATGAGCCTTAAACCCCAAATGTTATACCTGATCCTGCCTCGCAAGAACTTCAATATTTTGTCTACTGAGTAACCTTCCTGGCTGCCTATCCACACACAAAAAATGTAATCAGAAAGTAACATAATTATTGTATTCTCAATTTTCTTGCATTTTATGTCAATATGAAACATTAAAAACCTCATTAACTCCACTTTAATACTTGGTCCACATAAAGCTTTTAAAGAATAGAATAAAGCGGCTGTCACAACTGTAAACAAATAAAAGGTTGGATAATAAGAACCATTCAAACAAGAGATGCCATACCAGTGATGATACTTTTCAAGACGCTAGTGCTCTCTAGGGTGGAATACTGTTGCACAATAACAACCCTTTTCAAAGCTGGAGAAACGTGCAATGATCTTTCACTGCTAGAATCCACTCAATAAAACATGTCAATTATTGAACTTGCTTAAAATGTTTAAATTTGTATTCCCTAAATTGCAGGCGGGAGAGATACATAATAATTTACACTGAAAATAATAAAAGAACCGGTCCCTAATCTGCATGCACTGAAATAACATAGAAATTCTATAACATCAGAATTCTCCCTCTACACATAAGGGGGCGTAACTGACCGACCTTTCACCGTGTTGAAAAGAGAACTTAGTACACACCTCCAATGGATAACCGATCAAAAAGTCCATAATTCATACGTCAGAATGCGAGCAGCTGCGTCTAACAGCCTGGGTGATCAGACCACCAACCAGGAACGTTGATCATTATACCACTGCAGAGTAACTGCAAAGTAAGGTAACCCCAAGACGATATGTTGACATTATCATCACCCGTTGACGATATGTTAATATACTCGCCACTCCTAGACGATATGTTGATATAGTTATCATCCCTAGACGATATATTGATGTCAACCCCCTCCTCCTTCCCCTCACTTCTCACCAGACTGTTTCAAAGATTTTCTCGTGAGTGATTTTCTTTCTACTATTCTTCACACCAGGACTTCGTGACCAAATGTAGGCTCTTTTCTTACGAATGAATAGACGTCGGCACGCTTCTATGAACTCGACGCAGCCTATCGTGCTTTATGTGTGGCGCAGTACTCAATTGAGAGACGTGAGCCAGGAGAGGCTTCCAGTCCCCGTGTGATGGGTTATGTGAGTGTGGGTTAGGCTAGACTACTAATCCCGACAAGATAGGTAGGAAGGATTCACCTAGCACTCTAGCTAGACTGGAAATATCCACCAAGTCTTGAGTATAACCTGGTGAGTTTATATTTGTTTACACTGCGGTAAGAAAAACTTAATTGGTATTGATGTTTGTTTTTCACTTTGTCAGGATCAGGGACAGGAACCTGTTAGGCTTATGGAGATCCCGCTAGTTGAACGACTGACTTTTTTTTGTATTATCACATTTAGGTACATATGCATTTGTGCAGCTACCTTAGACTACATGAAGGGGAGTACAGAGTGTGTCAAGAACTAGCTGCTCTAGACTATATGAAGGGGGAGAACAGTGTGTCAAAAAGCTAGCTACGTGATGCTAAAACTTCCCATCACACAGGATGGTTAGTCATACGGAGGCATGTGATCAGCAGTCTGCACTTTTTTATTATTATTATTTTCTACCACAGACGTGGCCACACATTTACAATGCTAATCAGCATATATACATTTTCTTCTGTCCTCCATGGATAGGGTGAGAGATGTGTCAAACGTACAGTTCAGGGATTTATTGAACAATCAACCACAGAAGGTGTCTGAAGTGCTTTTAAAATGCTAGGCTAAGCTACATACGTAAATACATAGATACACAGATTTATGTATGCTACATCAAGTGTTCGATGTGTCTTTTACATAATGTCATTAATGTGCATTTACAAAGGCGAAACGTAACTCTGATCAGCTTCCAGATATACTTTATACACATACATACACACACATATATATACATACATATATACACACACATTTGTCTCTTTTACTCTGACAGGCTGAGATAGCTCATAGAGAAACTAGTGTGCAATTAAGAACTACCGAAGGTGATTAAGATGCTCAGGTAACAAGCTCAGGTTGTATAGTTACATCACGTACATAAATTGTATAATTGATACATTACATGTAGTCTGCACTGACAGACTCTGGGTGCATTATGAATATATCATCATCAACACAAGAGTGAATAAGGTAGCAGTGATACTAAAAGTCCTATCTTGCAGGATGGTTAGTCATACAGGGCCATATGTTCAGTAGCCTGCACTGGCAAATTGTGGGTGCATTATGAGGATATCTTCAAGAATACGACAGTGAATAAAGTAATTGCAAAGCTCCAGGTACCTCATGCCAACGGGTCTGAATGGTCTGATAACTGGGCATTGAGTGACGTAGTGTGCAAGCTCATGCCCCAGTTCCTGCTCACAGAGTTTGCATCCCCAAGTTGCACCCCAAAACTCCCGTGTCCAACTTATCCAAGGTACAACTCCCGGGTACCTGTTTATTGCTAGGGGAACAGCGGCATCAGGCGTAAGAAATTATGCCTAAACGTTTCGTCCTGACCCAGAATCGAACCTAGGACGTTGATTTGGCCCAGAAGGACAAGGCCCAGGCAGGATAGTTTCTATTTATACCAAACCATTCACGCTTTACATATTTTACAGCTGTGTTTACTGCTGCAGTGCATGTGCCTATATGAGGCTACTTGCTGACTTGATCCATTCACTCGTGATCCTAATTTCCGGATTTGTGCTAAGCTCTTTAATTTGGGAATATAAATTTTCCCAACGTGAATATGTTGTCTCGAGTTCTATGTTGAGTTAATATGTTCAGAACTATATTTGTATTCTTAATATGTTCAGAACTATATTTGTATTTTTAATATGTTCAGAACTATATTTGTATTCTCGTTATGAAGCCTCGTCATCAACTTGCACCGTCATCAGTTTTGGATATTTAGTTTTGTGGTTACTCTTCTTTCGTCATTTTAAACAGAATTCTAGTCGATTCTGTACAAAGCTGAGAATATACAAATACAAGTAATACCCAAATTAAATATCATAACAAAACTCCAACTAAACAACACATTAACACCAAACACACAACCAAACACTGCAACAGACGACGACCTTGACAATCGGCAACACCTCTGCAATTCAGATACAAGTACTCATTGCCAATGCAGATAGAGCGACTACAACCGATCACTTTTTGTTCATTCAGACTATTAAGATTCTGTTAACAGTAATCATTCCTGATGATGAGATATATCATCAGACATCGCTACACCAGCACAATCATCTCCAACTCGAAGCAAGGATCTTTTATCCCCTAAACAAGCAACACAACTCAGGAAGCACCTCAAACAAGTGCTAAGATAAATTTACCTCCACTCAACAACACTTCTGAAGCTAAACATCTTCAATGACATTCAATGAAGATGTGTGTGAAGGGGAAGATGGGAAGGGTGTGTGTGAAGGGAAACAGATTAGGTGTGTGAAGGGGAAGATGGGAAGGGTGTGTGTGTGAAGGGAAACAGATTAGGTGTGTGAAGGGGAAGATGGGGAGGGTGTGTGTGTGTAGATTAGGTGTGTGAACAAGATTAGGTGTGTGAAGGGGAAGATGGGTGTGTAGGGGAAGATGGGGAGGGTGTGTGTGTGAAGGGAAACAGATTAGGTGTGTGAAGGGGAAGATGGGGAGGGTGTGTGTGTGAAGGGGAAGATGGGGAGGGTGTGTGTGTGAAGGGAAACAGATTAGGTGTGTGAAGGGGAAGATGGGGAGGGTGTGTGTGTGTGAAGGGAAACAGATTAGGTGTGTGAAGGGGAAGATGGGGAGGGTGTGAGGGGCAAGAACTGGACAATGGGTCGTCCAAAGCACTTCTGGGTAACCCATCTGGCTATGCATAACAAAAAATCAGTAACATCAAAATATGAAATATAAATTGCGAATTCAAACAAAACATTGTTCTGCACAATATGCTGCAACCCACTAACAAAACCCACAGCAAAAACAAGTCCATTGAGCCTCTGGTGAAAAACACCCTCCAAGGGCACCTAAACAAAAAATAATGTGAACACAGCATATATTTTCACTCAACATATGCTCAAAACCTCATATCGGAGTATCACCATCACCATAAAATTACTCCACCATTACCAATCGAATCCAAGACCAGAGGACTGATAGCAGGGGGCGGAAGGCTGGGGCGAGGATACAGAAAACTTGAACAGAGAACAGGACACAAAGTCGGAGGATGTGGGAGGAGATACAGCTTGGTGGTCCAACCACCGCGGGCTTGAACTTGGCAGTGACACTGTAGGGCGTTCTGGTTCTCTTGGGCGTCGCACAGGGGCTCGGTTCTCAAGCAGCTGGGTGAGGTTGGGTTACGTCGTCAGATGTGGCTCATCCTTCATAAGACGTCGTCTTGCTGCGTGTGAACACGGCGGCGCTGTTGGTCGAGCTTGCAGGAAAGGCCTGGAGTAAGAAGTCATCCGAGCTGTAGGGGTAAAGATGTTGGGAAGGAGATGGCGCTCCCACAGAGACGTCTTCGTCCGATGAGTGAGACGGCGTCGTCTGCGTACGGTACAGCGTTCGTTGATGGTGCAGGTTTGAGACCCAGGGGCCGAGGTTGTCGTTGCAGCTGGAGCGCAGATGGTTTCGCTGGCAGAGGCTGATCGTACGTTGGCTTCCGCTAACCCCGTGGATGGTCAGCGTCATAGATGGTGCAGAAGGCACCTCCGAGAGTTCCACCTGAACGGTGAGTGGTGCAGGTGTTGATGTTGATGCTGGGGCAGCCAGCACTGCATCGGGAACGATTATCCCTGTTAAGCCATTCGTGACATACAGGGTGTTGAGGATTCTCACACACACCGGCGGTTGTCGGTCTCAATAATTTGTTCTGCAAAGCGCATTAAGGCAGGGATGACGCCGTCGTTTGGAAAGATGGCAGGGCGTGTCAATGTTGGTTGAGGTTGAGCTGCTGGGGTGGTGGGTCCCCAGTGAGCCGGCTGAGAGGAGGGGCAGGGAAGTCTTCAGGGCGATGGCCGGGTGTGATAGGTTCTGAGCTGGTGGTGACGGCGATGGCGATGTTCGTGGAGGCTGAGGCTTTCATGGATTCTGTCAATTGCTTGATGGCTTCCTGTCTGGACAGGCAGCGATGAGAGATAGCGGTGTGGTCGCCATCGCAGAGGAGGCAGCATTGGAAGTCAGCCTTGCAGTCGTTGCAGTGGTGATCTTGGGCACAGATGCTGCACTATGCGGCTTGTTGCGGGCACTTGGTGGAATGAGTATAAGCATAGCATTTGAAACACTGTTGTAATGTAGTGCCGTTCCATGGACAATTGCACAGGTGGAGTCAGGATGCCAAAGCATTTGAACCCAGATGAGGCGGCTAGATTCGACGTGGCTACAGTGAAGAAGGTAATTTCAGAGTAAAGCGTTCGCGGTCGGCGTCGGGAAACATTATGATGTACACCGTCGAGTTGGAGTTTTCGTCCTCGATGCTGTCCCGGATTTCTCTTATCCCCCGGTCAGTGATCCAGGTGCTAACACCACCGGCAAATTCGGTTCTTTCAGCGAGAGTGCGGCCGGCGGGGAAAGATGAGGTCGATGTTCAGGTTAGATAGGCCTACCAGGGCTGAGGCAGAGAGCGGGTGGTCTGCCGTAGCTTCGTGAGTGTAGTAGTGCACGATTCCATCTCCCTCCTGGTGGATGTCACTCGATTGGTGTTGATTGCCTTCAGGAGGTAGCTCTTGGTGTACGCTTGATCGTTCAGGAGACGAACCCTCACTTGAGGGTTATAGTCCAACCACACCCCCTCTACGGGTCCCAGTGGTGTTGCAAGTCGTGTGGCGTGACTCCAGCTGGATAGTGCTGTACCCGACAATTCTCACTGCTTAATAAGGAGGCCCCTCCATCTTTTCCCGGTTATGTTGAGGATGGAAGTGGGGCTGGCGTCTTGCCGACTATTGCACGATGGAATGCAGAGCGGGCACCCAGGCTACTAAACATATGGCCCTGTATGACTAACCATCCTGCGAGATGGGGACTTTTATTACCATGTTACCTTATTCACTCTGGTGTTGATGATATCCTCAAAATGCATCCGGAGTCTGCCAGTGCAGACTGCCTATCACATGCCTCTGTATGACTAACCATCCTGTGTGAGGGGGATTTTTTAGCATCACCTAGTTAGCTTTTTCGACACACTTACTCCACTTCATATAGTCTAGGGTAGCTGCACAAATGCAGATGTACCTCATGTATTAATAAAAAAAAATCCGCTCACGAAGAAGAGTAGTTTTCCTGTTTTCCCATCGCTACCATATAGCCCTATCTTTACTCAAGACACGTTACAAGTTTTCAATAATTCCGTGCCAAAAACTGTATATCATGCAATCTATAGATAAGTGTCTCAAGGGTAAGATTAAGCAGAAGGAATACGAAGCTTTTCATTAGCTTCTAGATATAAATTTCTAGATGTAACATTTCTAGATATAAAGCCTAGTATTGATCATATTTTTCGAACACAATGAAATGCTATCATGGTTTTATATCCGTTCTAATCTCCAATTATTTATCCTTTTTACATTTATATTTAGGAATTTCAAAAATGTTCAATTGATACTTGGTTTACCTGTTGTCGGTTTCGAGAATCCTATTCCCATAGGTTTCCCGGATGATAATTCGATCAGTAAGGCTGTTGTTGCATATGTAAATGTTTTAAGTGTATTTATTTAAGTGTATTGCCCGAAACGCTATGCGTATTAGTGGCTTTAGGTATTGTATGCACTAGCTCCATCTATAAATCCAACATTATGTTTGTAACTTATCTTCTATGTATGTACTTTTATCGGAATAAAAATTTGAATTTATTTCTCCAGTATTGCACATATGATCAGTATGTCATATTTCTGGCGGTGATCTGGTATATTTTGTTTCTTCAAAATTAACCACTGACAGGAGATTCTCAGTGTGAATAATTAAACATTACAACTATGCAGGTGGTCAACACATGTAAGATCACCCGTCCAGAATACATACAGGTGGTCAACACATGTAAGATCACCCGTCCAGAATACATACAGGTGGTCAACACATGTAAGGTCACCCGTCCAGAGTATATACAGGTGGTCAACACATGTAAGGTCACCCGTCCAGAATACATACAGGTGGTCAACACATGTAAGGTCACCCGTCCAGAGTATATACAGGTGGTCAACACATGTAAGGTCACCCGTCCAGAGTACATACAGGTGCTCAACACATGTAAGGTCACCCGTCCAGAGTACACACAGCTGCTCAACACATGTAAGGTCACCCGTCCAGAGTACACACAGCTGCTCAACACATGTAAGGTCACCCGTCCAGAGTACACACAGCTGCTCAACACATGTAAGGTCACCCGTCTAGAGTACACACAGCTGCTCAACACATGTAAGGTCACCCGTCCAGTGAGAGGACAATAAGTCACAATACTGTGGCTGAGAATTACACACCCAACCCACGCATCTGAAGGAAGTGACGACGTTTAATTTGGCCCATCCCGGACCCGTCTAGGACTTGATTAACTGGACGTTGACTTAAGACCATACTCTTATTCCACTCACGTCCGGCGTTACTTAATTGCTACCTGACCTCGGACCAGGATTCAACAAACACTTACTTCTCCACTTGCGAAACCTGTGCATCTTCTCTCAAAACATGGCAGCTTCGGAGCTCAAAACATTGATGAAGGAGTTTTGAGCTCCGAAGCGTAACGAAGTTGTCTATAACACAATTTTGGGTTGAGAACGACATCATTTGCCTCCTCGTAAACTGTATGATAAATAGAGACTGAGCCACCATGACAGAGGTACGTCGTACAGGTCTCGTTGGTGGGATGGTGGCCGAGCTCATCACTGCCTACTCCAGTACCGTTGGTGGGATACTAACCGAGCGCATCACTGCCTACTCCAGTACCGTTGGTGGGATACTGACCTAGCTCATCACTGCCTACTCCAGTACCGTTGGTGGGATACTGACCTAGCTCATCACTGCCTACTCCAGTACCGTTGGTGGGATACTGACCTAGCTCATCACTGCCTACTCCAGTACCGTTGGTGGGATACTGACCTAGCTCATCACTGCCTACTCCAGTACCGTTGGTGGGATACTGACCTAGCTCATCACTGCCTACTCCAGTACCGTTGGTGGGATACTGACCTAGCTCATCACTGCCTACTCCAGTACCGTCGGTGGGATACTGACCTAGCTCATCACTGCCTACTCCAGTACCGTTGGTGGGATACTGACCTAGCTCATCACTGCCTACTCCAGTACCGTTGGTGGGATACTGACCTAGCTCATCACTGCCTACTCCAGTACCGTTGGTGGGATACTGACCTAGCTCATCACTGCCTACTCCAGTACCGTTGGTGGGATACTGACCTAGCTCATCACTGCCTACTCCAGTACCGTTGGTGGGATACTGACCTAGCTCATCACTGCCTACTCCAGTACCGTTGGTGGGATACTGACCTAGCTCATCACTGCCTACTCCAGTACCGTTGGTGGGATACTGACCGAGCTCATCACTGCCTACTCCAGTACCGTTGGTGGGATACTGACTTAGCTCATCACTGCCTACTCCAGTACCGTTGGTGGGATACTGACCTAGCTCATCACTGCCTACTCCAGTACCCTTGGTGGGATACTGACCGAGCTCATCACTGCCTACTCCAGTACCGTTGGTGGGATACTGACCTAGCTCATCACTGCCTACTCCTATATTATTGGTGGTCATAATATCCCTTCCCGCGGTTAGTAGGCCTAGAGCCCGGCTCAACTAGATTAGAGAAAATGTTATCTTTAAATCTATACACTACATTATACTACCGTTGAACATCATCCGTAAACAAGTAGCCTAGTTTAGATCTCATGGTTTGTTTACAAATATTTCCTTTGTATTCCTCATGTAACCGCTTTAATTATGTTTCCTCTTCTACTAAATGACAAGAAAAGAATTATGAAATAATAATAACTTCACCTGTAATGGCCAATGGGCCATCTATTTACAGAGAATGATTGTTTGTTCAAGAGGGGGGGGGGGCGCAGACGCTTGGTTCTATCGTCACCCAACTTTTCAGGACGACATATGGGTGGCCGCAATTACTGCTGTGTAAACAGGGGGCGAACAGCTAAAAGATTGGTGCCCAGTCAATCGTCCGCGGATTGACGTGGAGCGAGTGTGTTGTATATCGTTGGACCCCAAAACGCGAACGTTTTGTGTTATTGATTTAGCCCAAATTCATGGCATTCTAAAAAATCGGAAATGTAAATGTAGATCCTGTCCAAGTAACCCTAGGGTTAAAAATATACGCAAACTACTAGGTCAACTCTTGGTCATCCTCAGGATGCAGCTCACAACAGCTTCAGCTCTCTATTGCCACCTCAATACTTTTTGCCTAGTAACAAGGGCGTGACATGCGATCTATGTAAATGTTTTGTATTGCATTTAATATAAACACAGTCGTATGTATAAAACATAGGATACAATTGTCAAATGCCGCGCACGGAAGCACATTTGCAGGAAGGAAATTAACAATACGTAACTTGTATTTTTATTTCACCGACATAAGTCAACAAATAAAAAGACAAATCTCGCTTATCATTGGGTACTGAACGCAGTATATGTAAACAGACGCCAGCTCCAATCACTATTGTGTCGCCGCCAAACACTACATTACAATTGGCTGTGTGTAAACAAGCAAATTGTAGTGTGATGCTGAGGAGAGATTAGGGAGGGGTGGGGGGTGGGTGGGGGGGGGTAGGATTAAAGTATCTATTTTTCGTCAAGAAGATGGAGTTTGTTTACTTTAATCTTGCATTATGCTCAGGATTAGGGGCTACACTTACTGGTTGATCAGTAAGCAAGTGCCATGGCCTTAGATAACCCCTCCAGAAGTTGCCAGGATATGAGTGGTGAGTTCGTAAAGAGAGGCGAAGAGACAGACGTTTGATGGGAGAGATGAGTGATGGTGGGGGTGACGCAGGTGGGTGAGTGTGTGAAGAGGAGGTAGTGACAATGGAGCAAAAGGAGGGTGTGTGTGTGTGTGTGTAGGAGGGGGGGGGGGAGATCAAGGTAGGTGGGGGGGTTAACGAGTAATGACTGGGGGGGCTGGGGGAGCCGGGGGGCGCTAACATGAAGCTGATCTCTGCCTCGGCCGTCCAGTAGAAGCTGGCGAGCTGCAGGGTAAGGACAGGGAGGGACGGGATCCGCGCTCTGGAAATTATTATTGTTCAATCTCCCACCATCTGATTTCGGAGAGGCGGAGGATTGTGGAACGAGCATTTTTGAGGCCTTCGCGAGGTGAGTTGGACTTGTGTTTGTGCAGATTAGACATCGATTGTATTTTTCATTGTAAATGAACGAGTTACTGGGAAGGGTTTGATATATGCTTAGTACTTTAATGTTGTTGTTTCCATAAGCTCTGTTTGCAACGCTAAGGCATTTAAAAGCCTGACGCTCTAATTTTTACACAAACACATCCCGTCACGTATTTGTTACACAAGCTGAGTGTGCTTGGATGACCGTGGACGTAATTCCCCGATTTTCTTGTCGGCGTCACTTTATTCTCAATTGGCGTGATTTTTCCTGGTATTAGGTTAATGGACTCTAAAATGCAGCACTGTAGCGAAATATTTGGTAAACCAAAAAAACATAAACTGACAGGCTGAGAAATGACATTTTGTAGTCTATATAAAGCCGCCATAGCCTAAAGGCCTGTGATTGACGAGGCCTCTATTCCCAGGGGACACAGTTTCCTTCTTTAATGTACACTTGTGTAGTTGATACTTCTGGTATAATTTTTAATTGGAAGAAATTTTATTTTTACATGTCTCAAACATCTGTTGACCTTCCTACTTTACCCAAATACAGCTCTAATAGTGTTTAACGAGGCTACCCTGGTGAAATGTGTAGCTCGCCGCCCCCTTTAAAATTTAAACACTTTACATCAATTACTTATGTCGAAAAGGGACATTGTGTCCCCTGTCGTATTTTTTAATTTGTTCTTGGGGATAAAGGCTAAAGGGCTAATGTCGGATGTAACATTCGTGCCCACTACTTGAAATGGCTTATTATAGATTTCATACTCGCCCTGTGGGGAGGGGGAGGGATATTCATATAATGAATTCGGCAATGAACCCTTGCACGTCCTGTTGGGAGCAGGGGAAAGATTACACAAGTTTCAGGAACATGTGTTAATGACGTACCCAAGCAACAGGTGACGCACAGTTTTGTCAGTGCTCGCGGCCGAAAGAACAGGATGTAATTTATTAATGGTAGCGCACTATCGCTTCGAGTTCACATAATCCATTTACAACTACTTGTAATGTATTGATACATTTCCTCCCCCCTATTCTTCGGTAAAGGGCATAGTTTAATTTATAGCCGGTGTATCTAGTGCTGTCAAGTGTGTTTTATTGGTCATGGTCGCTGGAATATGATATGGGGGAAGCGAATAGACTACACCAGCTGATTGTCATGTTTGACTTGACTGGATCGTGTTGGGATCTTGCAGTGTGTTAGTAATTTTACTTAGTTCCACCCTTGTTTTCATCTAGGAGTTTATTGGAAAAAAACGGTAAACTTGACTGAAGTAGCTGTCATTTGTACGTATGGGATAAATGTTTACATGTTTTAGTATATTTGTAACATTAGTTTTGTATGATAAAGTACTCGACGGTTCGCCAGTAATTTGGAAATTCCTTCATTGATTTATGGAACGCCTTACCGGGTAACATGTGGGTTGGCTGGGGTGTTTCGAGCGTATGCTAGACGTATAAACGAGCTGGGTTGGGTATAATTAGTGATGGAAGGAGGGGGGGGGGGCGTGACGCTGGTGTAATGCGTATTTACCTTATTTGCCAATTTCCTGATTTTTTATGTTCAATATCTGAACTAATGGAGAAATTCTTATTAGCAATCCTTTGTCAAGTATGGATCAATTGAATCTGTTTATAATTATGGAGAGGACACTACATAAACATCAGAGGATAACTGTTATTTAATGTTCTCTCGGCATACCTAAGATGTACTGCCGGAACAAAAGGCGAAGTGTTCACCAGAAAATTTTACAGGTTCCTGATAATACTGGGATAATGTGGATACGGTCGGCCGAGCGGACAGCACGCTGGACTTGTGATCCTGTGGTCCTGGGTTCGATCCCAGGCGCCGGCGAGAAACAATGGGCAGAGTTTCTTTCACCCTATTCCCCTGTTACCTAGCAGTAAAATAGGTACCTGGGTGTTAGTCGGCTGTCATGGGCTGCTTCCTGGGTGTGGAGGCCTGGTCGAGAACCGGGCCGCGGGGACACTAAAAAGCCCCGAAATCATCTCAAGACAACCTCAAGATAACGGTTGCCAGCGGGTCGCTCCAAGCAACGACGTATTTGACAAGTTATCACAAAAAAGCCTGGCCCCAGGCCGGGCTTGGGGAGTAGAGCTGGACGGTACCGGGGTCTCTCCCTACCGGGCTGGGCGGTAGAGCGACGGTCTTGCTTCATGCAGGTCGACGTTCAATACCCGACCGTCCAAGTGGTTGGGCATCATTCCTTCCCCCTCCGTCCCATCCTAAATCCTTATCCTGATCCCTTCCAAGTGCTGTATAGTCGTAATGGCTTGGCGCTTTTCCCCCCTGATACTTCCCTTCCCATAACCCACTCTAGGTTCAGATTCCCCCCCACCTCACACTACCCCTTTGCGAATATGTATACATCTTTTTTGGTCATACCCAGTTCCCAACTTCATTTTTCAATCACTCTATCACCTCGATGCACTCCAGTCTGTTAAGAACGGGCAAAATCATCGTTTAACAATATAGTTGCAATGCAGTTCCTTCCTGTTCCCGCCCTCACACCTCTAAATGTCGTCAGACTAAAGCTCGTCGCTTTGTTTTTTCTCGCAATAAAACTTTCTCGCCTTCACGGCCTTGTCTGCGGAGAAAATGTTGGCACCATAAACTTCACGGCAGATATATTTCACTGTTAATTGATTCATTGGCTGCTTTGAGTAGTTACTTCATCTGTATATTTAACTGAATAGTTATTGGTTTGCAATATAAATACCAACAATGCATAATATATATAGGCCTTTATAAGGCCTATTTTTATTTAAAGGCTTACAAGGCCCGATAGTCTAGGGGAGGTTCTTGAGGTTATCTTGATTTCGTTTTTTTTTTTTGTTTTAGTGTCCCCGCGGCCCGGTCCTCGACCAGGCCTCCACACCCAGGCAGCAGCCCGTGACAGCTGACTAACACCCAGGTACCTATTTTACTGCTAGGTAACAGGGGCATAGGGTGAAAAACTTTGCCCATTGTTTCTCGCCGGCGCCTGGGATCGAACCCAGGACCACAGGATCCAGCCCGTCCTCCAAACAAAGATCTAAAAGTGATTCCATGCACCCGCCAAACCCCCTGTTTATGAATGAAAAACGGTTTACACACGACTCGCAACTGATTTCGTTCGAACACTTCCGGAACAAGTGCTTCACTGACGAGTTTTGTTCGAACCACTTCGCTATAAATGCTTCACTCACGTACTACAAATGCAAATAATCGCCAACCGAACCTAAACACCTAACCTAACCTATGCCTATATATGCACAATATGCTAATATATTATAATATTAATTTATATTTGAGAAAATTCTTGTTCTGAATGAACAGCATGTTAAAATTTATGAATGCGTCTGTGGGAGCGACCGCTGGATGTAATGGACTTGAGTCGAGGACGGGTTGCAGGATCATAAGACCAGTGTGCTGTCCGCTCGGCCGACCGGCTCCCCTCTTCCGACCGGGAAGAGGCATTATATTTGAATACCTGTGACTTTTGCATTCATGAACACGGGACTGCGTCTCGAGGCCTCTTAGTGTTAGGGTGTTAATTAGGTGTCGCGTGTATTGTGCCAGAGGCGAATTTGAATGCATTAAAGGACCGAGTTTAGCAGGCAGCCTGGCATATGCTATGCAGAGTATGTCAAGTGATTCACTCTGTCGAACGATTGTTTACTTTAATAATGGAATCAATGTCTAAATAAACTACTTAATTTTACAATTTGTATAAAATTTGTAATGTCATTCTAATTATACTTGGTATAATTGTAAAAGTTTTAAAGTTAAAAACCGAAGAAAACAATTAGGTGATAGTAGTATCAGCCTGTACGATCACGGCTCGGTAGTGGTCTCTGATTATTTCTTTGTATGAGAAGCTGTATTTCATTCAAAGTGATCCATCATAAATATTAAATTGTCACCAGTTTTGCTAACTGTAGGTAGTAAGTGCTGGCGATTGTACCCTTTCCGCCGCCGCCCACTGGATGGGAGGTGAGGTTTGCAAAAAAAAATAATTTTATTTAAATTTGTGGAAGGTATAAACAAATATTATTCGGCTGTGTACGTCAAAGAATTATTGTTTATGGGCAAGGTGGTCTGTGGAGTAATCCGGATATGGGTTATACACAAATTCAGTAATGATTTGCCCAGACTCGCCGTGAATATAAATTTCCTGAACGAGAACGCTCTTAGAAATACAGATTAGCTTTAAAGTGCCACGATCTTCACTGCCCGTTCACCTGATGTTAGTCAAGTGGTTTAGATGAACTGGTTGGCTGACTCGGTAAACTGGGCGGGTGTTGGACGGGAAGGCATGAACGTGGAGAAAGTGGTTTAGCGGTCAAGGCTACCGGTCAAGGCTAAGGCTTATATTCTACGCGCGTTGCCAAGGTGGCTGGTTTGTTTGGGACTCTCGTGGGTTTGGAGTTTTTATAAGATGTGGCAGTGAAGATGGAGCTGGGAGGAGGACATGGAGGGAGGAAAATTGGCTGAGTATGTATATAAATTATTATATTAGAGTACTTAAACCCATACGCAGTCATTTACTCCCAAATGCTATATTTTGTCAATTTAATTTATTTAATCTAAATATTCAAGTTCACTGAACTTGTACACTTCTTCCTTTAGTGTACAAGTTTGTTAGGAAAGTTTCCCCCCCCCCCTTTTTTTTTAAACCAAAATTTAAGTTAAACATAAATGCTCAACGTTCTATTGATATGACAATTTCACCATTTAGTTTGCAGTCTCCTAATTACATTATTCCGCCCATTAAATTGCATTCGCACCTATTTGCTTAGGTGCCTATACTTGGCACCTAACTGTCCCTATGCAATTGCCTATACATGGTTCAGAATGTCCGAATATGTCAGTGTTGATACTCGATGAGAAACGATCTCCAAGGTGTGGAGACGGGCGAGGGCAGACTACTAAATTCAAGGCAATAGAAAGTGGGTTGCCTCTACCGCTGTTTTTGGACA